AACTACAGGTACTCGTGTAGTAACTACAGGCACTCGTGTAGTAACTACAGGCACTCGTGTAGTAACTACAGACACTCGAGTAGTAACTACAGACACTCGTGTAGTAACTACAGGCAGTCGAGTAGTAACTACAGGCACTCGTGCAGTAACTACAGATACTCGTGTAGTAACTACAGGTACTCGTGTAGTAACTACAGGCACTCGTGTAGTAACTACAGACACTCGGGAAGTAACTACAGGCACTCGTGCAGCAACTACAGGCACTCGTGTAGTAACTACAGACACTCGAGTAGTAACTACAGACACTCGTGTAGTAACTACAGGCAGTCGAGTAGTAACTACAGGCACTCGTGTAGTAACTACAGGCACTCGTGTAGTAATTACAGACACTCGGGAAGTAACTACAGGCACCCGTGTATTAACTACAGGCACTCGTGCAGTAACTACAGGCACTCGAGTAGTAACTACAGGCACTCGAGTAGTAACTACACACACTCGTGCAGTAACTACAGGCACTCGTGTAGTAACTACAGGCACTCGTGTAGTAACTACAGGCACCCGTGTAGTAATTACAGACACTCGGGAAGTAACTACAGGCACTTGAGTAGTAACTACAGGCACTCGTGCAGTAACTACAGGCACTCGTGCAGTAACTACAGCACTTGAGTAGTAACTACAGGCACTCGTGCAGTAACTACAGGCACTCGTGCAGTAACTACAGACACTCGTGCAGTAACTACAGGCACTCGAGTAGTAACTACAGGCACTCGTGCAGTAACTACAGGCACTCGTGCAGTAACTACAGGCACTCGTGCAGTAACTACAGGCACTCGTGCAGTAACTACAGGCACTCGTGCAGTAACTACAGGCACTCGTGCAGTAACTACAGGCACTCGTGCAGTAACTACAGGCACTCGTGCAGTAACTACAGGCACTCGTGTAGTAACTACAGGCACACGTGTAGTAACTACAGGCACTCGTGTAGTAACTACAGGCACTCGTGTAGTAACTACAGGCACTCATGTAGTAACTACAGGCACTTGCATAGTAACTACAGGCACTAATGTAGTAACTACAGGCACTCATGTAGTAACTACAGGCACTCATGTAGTAACTACACACTCGTGTAATAACTGCAGGCACTCGTGCAGTAACTACAGGCACTCGTGCAGTAACTACAGACACTCGAGTAGTAACTACAGACACTCGTGTAGTAACTACAGGCACTCATGTAGTAACTACAGGCACTTGCATAGTAACTACAGGCACTAATGTAGTAACTACAGGCACTCATGTAGTAACTACACACTCGTGTAATAACTACAGGCACTCGTGTAGTAACTACAGGCACTCGTGCAGTAACTACAGTCACTCGAGTAGTAACGACAGACACTCGTGTAGTAACTACAGGCACTCATGTAGTAACTACAGGCACTTGCATAGTAACTACAGGCACTAATGTAGTAACTACAGGCACTCATGTAGTAACTACACACTCGTGTAATAACTACAGGCACTCGTGTAGTAACTACAGGCACTCGTGCAGTAACTACAGTCACTCGAGTAGTAACTACAGACACTCGTGTAGTAACTACAGGCACTCGTGTAGTAACTACAGGCACTCGGGTAGTAACTACAGGCACTCGTGTAGTAACTACAGGCACTCGTGTAGTAACTACAAGCACTCGTGCTGTAACTACAGACACTCGTGTAGTAACTACAGGCACTCGCATAGTAACAACAGGCCCTAATGTAGTAACTACACACTCGTGTAATAACTACAGGCACTAATGTGGTAATTACAGGCACTCGTGTAGTAACTACAGGCACTAATGTAGTAACTACACCCTCGTGTAGTAACCACAGGCACTAATGTAGTAACTACACACTCGTGTATTACCTACAGGCACTAATGTAGTAACTACACACTCGTGTAATAACTACACGCACTAATGTAATAACTACAGGCACTAATGTAATAACTACAGGCACTAACGTAGTAACTACACACTCGTGTAATAACTTCAGGCACTAATGTAGTAACTACAGGCACTAGTAAAGTGTCAAAAACACAGTTGTACTACCTGTTTCCTTACCCTCTTCTTGCTCAAAAAAAGAGAGTGAGGGACTAGGCACTCCATTGTCTCAGGCAGGGAATGAGAACGATGGCGGTAAAGAAATGAAGGATACCGGGCTGAATTATATTTGTCCGCGAAGGTCAAGAGATGGGGGTTTGACGAGGGAGTCAGACTGACTCACAACAGATACAGAAGAGCAAGAAGGTTGACGAGGAAGATGGGGATGCAAATATGGCAAACAAGAGAAGAATGTGAATAAAAGTGTGGGAACATGGGATGGTGTTCCCAGAAAATATCCCTAGCCTCACACCACAGAGAAGCGAGAGCAATTCAACTGGTGGTGTCAGAATTTAAACCTTGGAAACATGCGGTAGTGAAGAAAGGGAGATGGTTGGGGATGACATCGTGAGAGCGCGCAAGCAAGGGTTTCGAGGATGTATTTAATATCTTCGTGGCATTCTTTAAGATCCCTTTCCCTATTGCAACATGGGACAGAAGCATAGCAGTGCCGATGCTGGCATTTAAACTGGAATTTTGGGAGACCTCAACTAGGATCTCATCAATACCTGACAGCAGTTGCATCTCTAAAAGCGACCTCAACGCGTGCGCGAATCAAGGTGCGAGTAACGTCAAATATGAATCTACAGACAACAAGATGCTTACGCATCAGTGGTTGTATTGGTGTCAGTTATGTCAACAAAGTATTTTTGCCCATGTAGGTGGGCCTTAGTGAAGGAGTTGGTGGCGCGGATTGATGTGAGTCACCAGCACCGCCGTCCTATCCCGGAACAAGGCCAAGTTCTAACAGTCACAGGTGGGGTCACTCCAAGTGGTGAGTTAGTAACTACTGGGCACTTCGCACATGTCCCCGACATGGGATATTACTTAGGTGGTGTTCAGAAACTACCAGACCAGTCACTAGCAGCCACTGTACCACCAGACCAGTCACTAACAGCCCTTGTACCACCAGACCAGTCACTAGCAGCCACTGTACCACCAGACCATCACTAGCAGCCACTGTACCACCAGACCATCACTAGCAGCCACTGTACCACCAGACCATCACTAGCAGCCACTGTACCACCAGACCATCACTAGCAGCCACTGTACCACCAGACCATCACTAGCAGTCACTGTACCACCAGACCATCACTAGCAGTCACTGTACCACCAGACCATCACTAGCAGCCACTGTACCACCAGACCATCACTAGCAGCCACTGTACCACCAGACCAGTCACTAGCAGCCACTGTACCACCAGACCATCACTAGCAGCCACTGTACCACCAGACCATCACTAGCAGCCACTGTACCACCAGACCACTCACTAGCAGCCACTGTACCACCAGACCACTCACTAAGAGCCACTGTACCACCGGTCCAGCCAAAAAACAATCATACAATTAATAGCTGCCATTGTGCAACCATACAATAACTATCTGTCATTGTACAACGTCTCAGATACTAATTGGCATTGTACAACCATATAGAATTTTGCTGTTATTGCACACCCATATAGAAACTAGCTGTCATTGTAGCACTATTCTAGTAACTAGCTGTCATTGTACCACTATTTTGGTAATTAGCTGTCACTGTTTCACAACACGAGTAGGTAGCTGTCATTGTTTCACAACACTAGTAGCTAGCTGTCATTGTACATCCATGCAGCAACCAGCTGCCATTGTACATCCATGCAGCAACCAGCTGCCATTGAACATCCATGCAGCAACCAGCTGCCATTGTACATCCATGCAGCAACCAGCTGCCATTGTACATCCATGCAGCAACCAGCTGTCATTGTACATCCATGCAGCAACTTGCTGCAATTGTACATCCATGCAGCAACTAGCTGCCACTGTACATCCATGCAGCAACCAGCTGCCATTGTACATCCATGCAGCAACCAGCTGTCATTGTACATCCATGCAGCAACCAGCTGTCATTGTACATTCATGCAGCAACCAGCTGCCATTGTACATCCATGCAGCAACCAGCTGTCATTGTACATTCATGCAGCAACTTGCTGCAATTGTACATCCATGCAGCAACTAGCTGCCATTGTACATCCATGCAGCAACTAGCTGCCACTGTACATCCATGCAGCAACCAGCTGCCATTGTACATCCATGCAGCAACCAGCTGCCATTGTACATCCATGCAGCAACCAGCTGCCATTGTACATCCATGCAGCAACCAGCTGTCATTGTACATTCATGCAGCAACCAGCTGCCACTGTACATCCATGCAGCAACTAGCTGCCACTGTACATCCATGCAGCAACCAGCTGCCATTGTACATCCATGCAGCAACCAGCTGCCATTGTACATCCATGCAGCAACTAGCTGCCATTGTACATCCATGCAGCAACCAGCTGTCATTGTACATCCATGCAGCACGTATCCTGGCCGGGGAGGATTTACTGGGCGCAAATCCTTAACTGTAGCCTCTGTTTAACCCAACAGTAAAATGTGTACTTGGTTGTAACAACGATTCTTCGCGGCGGGGATCGTATTCCAAGGATCTGCCCGAAACGCTACGCGTACTAGTGGCTGTACAAGAATGTAACAACTCTTGTATATATCTAAAAAAAAAAAAAAAAAAAAAAAAAAAAAAAAAAAAAAAAAAAAAAAAAAAAAAAAAAGCTGCCATTGTACATCCACGCAGAAACTAGCTTCAATTGTACATCGATGCAGCAACTAGCTGCAATTGTACATCGATGCAGCAACTAGCTTCAATTGTACATCAATGCAGCAACTAGGTGTCCTTGTACCATAATACCAGTGGTAGGTAGCTGTCATTACTCGAACGTACGAATATTTAGCAGCTATCCCTGTATTCCCATTATTATAATACATTCCTACCAATCCCATTAACCCCTCTAATACCATAAAATATCCCCAAACTGCACACTGCACACTAACCACAAGTTCTGAAACGAGAGTCCTGTCGTAGAGTTTCTGGTACTCGAGCTTGATATTGCCCAGGTCTATCTCGGAGCGGGACACCACCAGGCGAATGATCGCCTTGTCCCTGGTGCCCATTTCCCTCATCGCTTCGTGCAGCTCCTTAGCGAAGAACTCGGCTCGGTTCATGATGATGAGGTCTGTTGCACAAGATTACTTAATCTGTATTGTATAGCTTGAGCGTAGAAAACAAATTTAATAATGATTATAACCGTCATCAAGCAACAGGAAAATAATAAACAGTAGAGGGAATGAGTAGTAATAATTTGATATAAGAATGGATTTATAATAGAAAAAAATAATGACTGGACAAGAGGCTGTAGTAGATATAAATGGAAAGAATGAGTACTTACAGAGCGTCATCAAGCTATATTTTATGCCTTCGGAGCACTCGGCCTCTATAAAGTCACCAAAATTCCTGTCCTTAGTATCATTGTATTCTTCAAAGCCAAAGCGCAGGAGATAGAAGGAGCAGCGTGTCATAATATAGATGAATTTCTCATCAGTTAACGGCTTGTCTTCACCTGGAATTGTAAACATTATACATTATCCCACAGTTGATGCTGACTTGTTATATGTAAACATACGGACCGTGACAGGTTGTTACGAGTAAACATAGGGACCGTGACAGGTTGTTACCAGTAAACATAGGGACCGTGACAGGTTGTTACCAGTAAACATAGGGACCGTGACAGGTTGTTACCAGTAAACATAGGGACCGTGACAGGTTACCAGTAAACATAGGGACCGTGACAGGTTGTTACCAGTAAACATAGGGACCGTGATAGGTTGTTACCAGTAAACATAGGGACCGTGACAGGTTGTTACCAGTAAACATAGGGACCGTGACAGGTTACCAGTAAATATGTCAGGCAGCGTAGGGTAGCTGACTCATGAGTCAGTCAGCCAGCGTGGGTAGCTGACCCATGAGTCAGTCAGTTAGCCAGCGTGGGTAGTTGACTCATAAGTCAGTCAGCCAGCATGGGTAGCTGAATCATAAGTCAATCAGCCAGCTTGGGTAGCTACTAATGAGTCAGTCAGCCAGTGTGGGTAGCTGTCTCATGAGTCAGTCGGCCAGTGTGGGTAGCTGACTCATGAGTCAGTCAGCCAGTGTGGGTAGCTGCCTCATGAGTCAGTCAGCCAGTGTGGGTAGCTGACTCATGAGTCAGTCAGCCAGCGTGGGTAGCTGACCCATGAGTCAGTTAGCCAAGGTGGGTAGTTGACTCATAAGTCACTCAACCAGCATGGGTAGCTGACTCATGAGTCAGTCAACTAGCGTGAGTAGCATGACTGAGTCAGTCAGCCAGCGTGGGTAGCTGACTCATGAGTCATAAGTCAGTCAGCCAGCATGGGTAGTTGACCCATGAGTCAGTCAGCAGTGTGGGTAGCTGACTCATGAGTCAGTCAACTAGCGTGAGTAGCTGACTCATAAGTCACTCAGCCAGCATGGGTAGCTGACTTATGATTTACTCAGCCAGCGTGGGTAGCTGACTCATGAGTCAGTCAGCCAGCGTGGGTAGCTGACTCATGAGTCAGTCAGCCAGCGTGGGTAGTTGACTCATAAGTCAGTCAGCCAGCATGGGTAGTTGACCCATGAGTCAGTCAGCCAGTGTGGGTAGCTGACTCATGAGTCAGTCAACCAGCGTGTGTAGCTGACTCATAAGTCACTCAGCCAGCATGGGTAGCTGACTCATGAGTCAGTCAGCCAGCGTGGGTAGCTGACTCATGAGTCAGTCAGCCAGCGTGGGTAGCTGACTCATGAGTCAGTCAGCCAGCGTGGGTAGTTGACTCATAAGTCAGTCAGCCAGCATGGGTAGTTGACCCATGAGTCAGTCAGCCAGTGTGGGTAGCTGACTCATGAGTCAGTCAACCAGCGTGTGTAGCTGACTCATGAGTCAGTCAGCCAGCGTGGGTAACTGACTCATGGGTCAGCCAGCGTGGGTAGTTGACTCATAAGTCAGTCAGCCAGCATGGGTAGTTGACTCATGAGTCAATCAGCCAGCTTGGGTAGCTGACTTATGAGTTAGTTAGCCAGTGTGGGTAGCTGTCTCATGATTCAGGCGGCCAGTGTGGCCTCTGACTCATGAGTCAGTCAGCCAGTGTGGGTAGCTGTCTCATGATTCAGGCGGCCAGTGTGGCAGCTGACTCATGAGTCAGTCAGCCAGTGTAGCAGCTGACTCATGAGTCAGTCAGCCAGTGTAGGTAGCTGACTCATGAGTCAGTCAGCCAGCGTGGGTAGCTGACTGACGAGTCAAGTCAGCCAGCATGGGTAGCTGACTCAAGAGTCAGTCAGCCAGCGTAGGTAGCTGACTCATTAGTCAGTCAGCCAGCATGGGTAGCAGACTCATGAGTTACTCAGCCAGCGTGGGTAGATGACTCATGAGTCAGTCAACCAGCGTGGGTAGCTGACTCATGCGTCAGTCAGCCAGCGTGGGTAGCTGATTCATGAGTCAGTCAGTGTGGGTAGCTGACTCATGAGTCAGTCAAGCAGCGTGTGTAGCTGACTCATGATGAGTCAGTTAGCCAGTGTGGGTAGCTGACTCATGAGTCAGTCAACCAGCGTGTGTAGCTGACTCATGAGTCAGTCAGCCAGCGTGGGTAGCTGACTCATGAGTCAAGTCAGTCATCGTGGGTAGCTGACTCATGAGTTAGTCAGCCAGCGTGGGTAGCTGGCTCATGAGTCACTAAGCCAGCGTGGGTAGATGACTCATGAGTCAGTCAACCAGCGTGGGTAGCTGACACATGAGTCAGTCACCCAGCGTGGGTAGCTGACTCATGAGTCAGTCAGCGTGGGTTGCTGACTCATGAGTCAGTCAACCAGCGTGGGTAGCTGACTCATGAGTCAGTCAACCAACGTGGGTAGCTGATTCATGAGTCACTCAGCCAGCGTGACTCATGAAACAGTCAGCCAGTGCGGGTAGCTGACTTAGTCAGCCAACACGGGTAGCTGACTCATGAGGCAGCAGATCAGAAGGCAGAACCAGGCTATACTCTCTCAAGAGGAAGATTAGCGTCGGCTACAGAATGAGTAAAATATTTCTGTATCTCGGGAGGAAGATTAGCGTCGGCTACAGAATGGGTAAGATATTTATGAATATCTCCTGAGAGGATGATTGATGTGTTAGAGGAGACTGGTAGGAGTGAGAGTGAATTAAATAATAGTTATAGTGATGGTGAGTGAAGGAAACTATGAGGAAAGAAGCGCTGGAACCGATAATCAGTAAACCTACCTGGGATGTGGGTTTGACTAATGAGGAGAGTGTGTGTGTGTGTGTGTGTGTGTGCAAGCCAAGTTGACAGGGCGAGTCAGGAGGGAAAGTGGTCGGCGGGATGAAAGACCACGCCTAGGATTGATCAGGCATTTATGCAGCCACTTACCAAACCTGTACACGTTTCCTTTATCATAACGTATTTGTGTACATGTAATGAACAGTTTATGACCTCCGTACCACTACGAGGTTTTTATAGCAATAACTTTGGTTTGTTAACTTTTATATGTTGTAAACTGCTAAAAAATGTAAACAAAGCCGCTAATAATTAAGGAAAGATGTACACGTTTCGTAAATACTTGATGAATCGTGTTCCTGGTGTGAAAGGTGGTATGAGAGGGGAGGTGGGGGGAGTGGGGTTAGAGAGTGGTGGATGAAGGTACAGAGATGGACTAACCTGCTTCATAAAGTGCTTCTGCTATTTGCTTGGCTATTTTCTTTGCCGTTTCAGAGTCACAAGGCGTCTCCTTTCTGTTACAATCGCATATATTAAGCAGGAAATGACGGAAATGTCCAGAGGTGTTTCCCTCGATGCTCTCCTCCAAGGTCTTATCATAGTATTCGTGATAGGCTTCTTTGATAGTCCTGGAGCGAAAGAGAAGAAAGTTGCTGACCCTTGGGATTTTCAAGTCTCAAATTGGGTAAAATGGATACAACTAGATTTTACTATTTTAGAAGGAGTAACGTGTGATGGTCGGCTCGACACCGAAAGGTTGTGCCAAGTGCTGGGAGCCTCCAGAAGGCAAATCTGTCATTAGAACATTCTGCATGAAAATATCACATTATGGAAATATAATGAATGACAGAACTTCAATTATTTCCCCTCCTCCAACCACCTATGACTGTCCCATGACTCCGACAGGTCATTATACAAAGTTTAGTGCGGTTAACCCCAAAGCATTTGCCTTCTAACCTTGGACAAACAAACAGCCATACTCTTTTATACATACAGAGATACTGTATGTGCAAAATATTTATTATATTATAATTAAAGTAATACATTACCAGTAACGTGAACTTTTTGGATCTTAGAATAGAAGCAACATTCATCTAACAAACTTCCATCATTATAGCTGTTTACCTCCATCCTATCAATAACAAATATTAGCACTGATAACAACAATCAGTAGAATGTACAAAAGTACTGTTTCACTAAAAAACGAACGCGTTTTGAACTAGTAATCTCGTAGGGGGCACGAGAAAGAATGCAACAACCAAACCTTAACTTTCTTAAGCCTAATATAGCACATATGGCTATCAAACTTTGCCAATGATGTTGCATATTAGGCCTGGGAAAGATCTTGTTTTGTTGCAAAGCACTGTTCCAGTTTTTGGCATGCCCATTGTAGTATTCCATTAGAACTGAACGTGAACTTTTTCCGAGAACAGCAGCTCATTTTTTACGTTCCGTCAATAGTCACTACCAGTCATTTTTTGACGATGAGTTCTTTTAACATTTAAATCTGTTTCACTCATACCTCATTATACCTACCATACTGGAATCACACCTCAATATATTTAATCCATTCATAAAGCTTTACATCAACTCCTATACTATAATACACACTCGAGTCATACTTTGTTATACCAACTTCATTCATACCATCTTATACCCTCACCACTCATACTTTATTACACCAAATCTACTTAAACCTTATTTTACTATTATACCTTCTACACTCATACTTCATTATGTCATTATACCTTCTACTCATAATTATACCATTATACCTTCTACTCATACATAATTATACCTTCTACACTCATACCTCATTATTCCATTATACCTTCTACACTCATACTTCATTATACCTTCTACACTCATACCACATTATGCCATCATACCTTATACTCATACCTAATTATACCTTCTACACTAATACCTCATTAAACTTCGACACTCATACCTCAATATACTTTCTACTCATATCTCATTATATCATTATACCTTCTACCCCTCATTATACCTGCTAAACTCATCCCTCATTATGCCTTCTACACCCATACCTCATTATACCCTCTACTCATACTTCATTATACCTTCTACTCATCCCCCATTATACCTTCTAAACTCATACCTCATTATACCTTCTACACTCATACCTCATTATAACTTCTACACTTATACCACATTATACCTTCTACACATACCTCATTATACCTTCTACACATACCTCATTATACCTTCTACACTCATACCTCATTATACCTTCTACACTCATACCTCATTATACCTTCTACACTCATACCTCATTATACCTTCTACACTCATACCTCATTATACCTTCTACACTCACACCTCATTATACCTTCTATACTCACACTTCATTATACCTTCTACTCATCCCTCATTATACCTTCTACACTCACACCTCATTATACCTACCCCGCTCATACTACAGTAGTTTATATTTGACATATTAGTGTAAAAATTGGTAAAGTGTGAATGAGGACTACGAGGTACCTCGTCATCCTGGCTGGCAATGTTGAGCATGGTGTAAGAATGTTGGGTGCAACATGGCTAACATATAAAACTGGAAATTACAATGTTCCAAGCCTGTCACATGCTGCAACATAAAATAATACGGTAAGAAGGGCGTATGTGGTGAACAAAGTTAAAATGAGAATTCCAAGGGCGGGTTCTAAAATGTTGTGCAGTTTCAAACACATTCATACAGCAGAACATTAGCTACAGGGAGCCTGGCTCTTGACGGAGGAAGACCCTCCCAGCGAGTGAGGACCGCCGCCAGGCGAGGTGGAGTATGGACCTGCCCAAAACGGGGGAGTCCACTCTCACTGTATGTAGAGAACAGATAGAGGTTTGAGGCAAGCATATTGTGTGGTTATTTTTGTTTATGTGTTAAAGGGGAACATTTTATTGGAGTGTCGATGGGTTGCAGGTTTGTCTTTTGGGGAAGAAGTTGCTGAGAACTCCGAAGCCAGCAGATGAAGTAGCTGATGAGACTCCAAGGCAGTGGAGCAGAGGACCTCGAGCTGTGAGGAGAAGCAGCAGTGAAGAGGAGTGTCACGTGCTTCTGTAGAGGTGGAGAAGCACCATAGTTGCTCGGGGAAACTTCATGGTGTAGCAGCCAAGAGAGCTGTGGAGGACCCTAGCAGAAGGGTGAAGCACCGTAGTTGCTCAAGGAAACTTCATGATAGCAGCCTGGAGGAGCTGCAGAGGATCCTGGTAGTGAAGCCCGGAAGAACCTAAGGATAATAGGGTAGTGAACTTCCAGAGGTGGAAGGGGAAGTTCTGGTGGATTACTTATAGGGAGTTGATAGTGTTTGGTTGTCATTAGCGTGCAAGACGCAGTGAGAGGTGAGTGACTGTTGGCATTCTTATGTCAAGGAGTTTTTTATACTGAAGTATCAATGAACATTTATACTGGTATATGTTATTGCATTCAAATGCTGATTTTCTATATATATATGTTATCTTGCTGATGGTGCAACAGTGTATGTAGGCTTGATCAACTTGAGGAGGTTGATAGTATCAGGTGGTGAACCAGGAGATAGGATACCACTTGATAAGCTGATAATAGAGTTCTGATGGTGTTGGAGTGCAACCTGATTGTGATATTATAGAGTATAGGATTCATTATTATTATATGTGTGTATGTATCGTGTATGTGCTTTGTCCAGTAAATGTGTCACAATTTGCTGGTGTTTGCCCTTGTCCTAGTGAGGCTTCCCAGGAGGTAGTAAAGAAGGAGAGAGAGAGAGAAAGAACCAAGAACCACTGCCGTGGACAGGGTAGGAGGTAATACTACTAAGTCATAGGGGATTGAGGAGATCATATCTCATAAGGAGAGAGTGGGGAGTCACAGCGGCTCGAGTGGGTGTGTGCACGTGACAACGAGGCTAAGTGTTGGAGCCGCATCCCCTAAACGTGTGACGTTGAGCCCCTCTCCAAGAGCCAGAAGCGCCAAGGGTGATCTCCTAGTATAAGCACTCTGCCGAGTTGTGGGTTGGGTTGTCCATAGAGAAGGATCAACGACGACAACACCAACCAACCCACAGTCTATAATAAATTGGGGGCCTGTGTCCGGGAGAGTGAACTGACACACCCACACCCTGTCCAAGAGTGGATTTGTACACCCCTGCTGAAATAAACTGTGTGACCGCAGGTGTATACTCTCTCTCTTGGGAAGACTCACAGGACAAAGATGGATAAGGTGCAAGCGTTTGTGGAGTCAGGCAAGCCTGAGGACTTGGAAGGTTGCACGAGGGATCAATTGAAACAAATAACAGAAAAATGTGGCCTTAGTTTGAAAGCATCTAAAGTAGCTGGGATGAAGGATGAGATCCTGAGGCAGTTAAGAGCCAAAAATGAAGCGGCAGAGCAAGGAGCCCAAAAAGGAGCTGAAAGTGGAAAGGAGGATGATGGGCAGGATGAAGTGAGATCCCAGGGATCGAGTAGGAGCAGCAAGAGTAGCCACAGTAGCAGGAGTAGCCGAAATAGGAGCTTGGAGAGATTCCAGTTAGAGCTCCAGATGCAGCAACAACGAGAGGACAAGGAGAGACAGTTCCAGCTGGAAAAGATGAAATTAGAACTCCAGATGAAAAATGAAGCCGAGAAGGAAAAAGAAAAACCAGACTGGAAATAGAAAAAGAGAAAGCAAGACTAGAGGTGGAGAAAGAAAAAGAGAAAACCAGAGTAAGAGAACTGGAGTTGGAACAGGAGAAAGAAAAAGCCCAAGTCGAAAAAGAAAAAGAGAGAACAAAACAAATGCAGATAGAAGCGAATAGAACCTTGGCTGAGCAAAGGATTGAACATGGGTTGCCAGAGAGCACCACCCAGGTATCACACCCACCAGATGTTAGGGTTAGGGAGAAGGACATTCCCTTGTTTGTTCCCGAAGAGGCAGAGAGCTTTTTCGAGCACTTTGAAAAAGTAGCCAGTATCAAGGAGTGGCCACAGGAGGAATGGGCCCAGCTGGTCCAGTTAAGATTGACCGGTGCAGCCAGGGAGGCATACACCCAATTGTCACTGGAAGAGTGCCAGGATTATGCCACGGTAAAGAGCAGCATATTGCGCTCGTTTCAGTTAACCCCAGAAGCTTATAGAAAGCGTTTCAGAGAGATGGTGAAAGTTGGAGCATGTACGTTTGCTGAGACAGCAAGGGATCTGGAAAGACGATTCCAGAAGTGGATTGAGGCTGCTGGAGTTGGATCTTACGCTGACCTGAAGCAACTGATGGTCATGGAGAAGTTCTTGGAGATGATGCATCCCGAAACAAAGTTCAAGATCCAAGAAGCAAGGATAAAGGAGGTGAAAGATGCCGCAGATAGGGCGTATATGATTACTGAAGCATACAAGAGCTTAAGAGAGAACAGAGTAAGAAGCAAGGCGAGACGCAGCAAGAGCAGACCCAGTGGAGTCTGGGGAGGAAGAAGTTTTGGGGGGCAGACAAGCAGACCAGCTAGTTTTAAGCCCCAGGAAGGAAAGTTGCCGAGTCCGCCTGCTGGAGGTAAGCAGGAAAATAAAAATGTGCAGAGGAGACAAGAGTCCAATGAAGCTCCACCGAGTATGAGTAGTACATCTGGCCCGAGGAACTCCAATACGAGTGGGCAGAGTCAGAGCC